TTTTTTCATTAAAACATACCTGCTAAAACACTCTAGCAAACCAGGAACATAAGGAAACCATTTCAACATAATAAAGGTCATAATAAAGGAAAACCCACAGCTAACATCATACTCAATGGTCAAACACTGAACATTTTTTCTCTAAGATCAGGACAAGGATGTACATTTTCACCACTTCTATTCAATATACATAGTGCTGGAAGTCCTAGCCAGAACAATTAGGCAAGAAAAAGAAATAATAGGCATTCAAATTGGAAGGAAGAAATAAAATTATCTTTGTTGAAGACACTATCTTACGTGTAGAAAACTAGATTACACACACACACACAAGCCTGTTAGAACTAATGAATGCTTTCAATAGAGCTGCAGGATGCAAAGATTAACATACAAAAATGAGCTGTGTTCTAAACATCAATAATGAACAATTCAAAGAGGAAATTAAAATATCAATCCTATTTATGATAGTTTCAAAAAGAATAAAATACTAAGGAATAACCTTAACCAAGGAGATGAAAGACTTTTACACTTAAAAGTTTTACACTTAAAACTACAAAGTGTTGTGGGAAGAAATTAAAGATACATATAAATTGAAAGACATCTGGAGTTTATGGACTGTAAGATTTAATATCAGTATGTCAATATTGCTCCAATCTATAGATTCAGTGCAGTCCCTATCAAAAAAAATCTCAATGGCATATTTTTTTTTAATTTTGGAGAAATAAAAAAACCCATCCTAGAATTCATATGGAATCTCAAGGGACCACAAACAGCCAAAACAATCTTGAATTAGAACAATGTTGGAGGTCTCACACTTCCTGATTTCAAAATTACTATAAAGCTACAGTAATCAAAACAATGTGGTATTGGCATACAGACAGACTCACAGACCAACAGAATAGAGAGTTCAGAAATAAAGCCAAGCACAGTATAATCAAGTCATTTTCAGTAAGGGTGCCAAAATCATTCAGTGGAAAAAAGACAGTCTTTTCAACAAATGGTGTTGAGAAAAACTGGATACCCACATGCAAAGATCTAAATGTATGACTTTTCCAGGGGGAAAGCTTCATAACTTTGGATCTGACAATGATTTCTTGCATATAAGACCAAAAGCATAAGCAACAAAGAAAAAATATATAAACCGGGTTTCATCAAAATTAAAAACTTTTGTGCGTCGGGGCACCTGGGTGGCTCAGTAGGTTAAGCGTCCAACTTTGGCTCAGGTCATGATCTCACAGTTTGTGGGTTTGAGCCCAGCGTCAGGCTCTGTGCTGACAGCCTGGAGCCTGCTTCAAATTCTGTGTCTCCCTTGCTCTCTGCCCCTCCCCCGCTCATGCTCTCTTGCTCTCTCAAAAACAAATAAAACGTTAAAAAAATTTTTTTTAACTTTTGAGCATCAAAGAACACTCAACAGAGTGAAAAGGTAATCCACGGAATAGCAGATGATATTTTCAAATCATATGTCTGATAAGGAATTGGTATCTGGAATATATAAAGAACTCCTACAACTCAACAACAAAAAATCAAACAACTAGATTAAAAAATGGTAAAAGAATTTACTAGATGTTTCTCCAAAGAAGATATACAAAAGACTGAGAAGCACAAGAAGAAATCATTATTAGAGAAATAGGAATCAAAACCACAATAGGGGCACCAAACTGGCTCAGTTAGTAGAGCATGTGACTCTGGGTCTCCGAGTTGTGAGTTCAAGCCCCATGATGGGTGTAGAGATTACTTAAAAATAAAGAAATAAAAATAATAATAATTAAAAAGCCTAAAATGACAAATCACTTCATACCCATTAGGATGACTAGTATCAAAATAACAGAAAACAACAAGTGTTGGTGAGAAGTGGAGAAATTGGAGCCCTTGTGCACTGCTGGTGGGAATGTGAAATTTTCTGGGTTATACCCCAAAGAAATGAAAGCGTGGACTCAAACAGATACTGTACATACACACAATGAAATAGTATTCAGCCTTAAAAAGGAAAGAAATTCTGAAAAATTCCCCAACACGAACGAATCTTAAAAACATGCTAAATGAGGGGTGCCTGGGTGGCTCATTTGGTTAAGGGTCTGACTTCGGCTCAGGTCACGATCTCGCAGTTCGTGGGTTTGAGCCCCGTGTCGGGCTCTGTGCTGACAGCTCAGAGCCTGGAGCCTGTTTCAGATTCTGTGTCTCCCTCTCTCTGACCCTCCCTCATTCATGCTCTGTCTCTCTCTGTCTCAAAAATAAATAAACGTTAAAAAAAAAAATTTAAAAAAATGTAAATGAAATAAGCCAGTCACAAAAGGACAAATTTTATAGGATTCCACTAAAATGAGGTACATAGAGTAATCAAATTCATAGAGACAAAAAGTAGAATGATGGTTGCCAGGGGGTTGGGAGTAAAGGGAAATGAAATAGGAGTTAGTGTTTAATAGGTAAAAGGTTTCAGTAGCGGATGATGAAAAGGTTCTGGAGATGGATGGTGGTGATGGCTCCACAACAATGTGGATGTACTGAATGCCACAGAACTGTATACTTAAAACCGGTTAAAATGTCAAATTTTATGTTTATGTATATTTTACCACAATAAAAACAAAAACACCTGCCACACATCCTTCCTATTGACTCTATCCTCGTCTGGGGTCTCATCTCTTCATATTTAGGTAACTGCAACAGCTACTGTCATTGCTGGCTCATTCCATTCTGTCCTCATTCAAGCTCAACCTGTAGATCACAGGCAGGTTCATCTTGCTGGTTTATCGCATTAATATGGGGCTTCCGACCTTTCAAAGGCTCCCCATATCTTGCCCAAGAGGATAAAAATCCAAATCTCCTCAAACTAGTACTCAAACCCTTCTACACATATCCTTCCAACTGCATGATTTTTTTTCCTTTTAGCCTCCCAAATTCAGTTGTCAGCTCATCCTAGTTTCCCTCTATTCCCCTCCCCCAAAGCTAATCTCCACATCATATTCTCGCTTTTCTCTCACGGAGTAACTGCTCCAGTATCTCTGTAAATCTAAACCCTCACAGGCTAGCTCAAGTCCCAAGTGTTCCAGGAAGTTCTTTAGACTCCTAAGTCTCACTCGTCTCCCTCTAACCAGAACACCTACAGCATTCTCTGTATTCATAGAATGTACTAGATTGTCTTCTAGAGTCATAAGGGTACACCTTATCTTTCCTGAGGGCAAAGTTTATATACTACACTTCTTTCTTTTCTACTATAGCAACTAATATAATGCAAAATGCAAAGCAGACTTTCAATAATTACAATTAATTACAGTGTAATTCATTGAACACAAGGTACAACTTTGATATGTTGAGTTTCACGGACTAGAATGTGATCAGAATCATTTGAGGTTGCATTTCGGAAGGTTACCCCATGACACACAACAAAGAAGACTCTTGTAATTCAACAAGAAAATAGACGGAAACTAGGCAGTATTAATCTAGTAAATGCAACACCGGTGTTTTAAATCTTAAAATGAGAGTCTGATATAAAGAACTTGTTTAAATGCTGGTGTTGGGGCACAGAACACTAGTTTGGCTTTGTGGGACAGAATATTGACCTATGGGTTTTACTGACTGCGTGCAAGAATGGACCATGCCTGTAACTGGGTGAAAATATAGTTACAGGCCTATGAAAACTCTAAATGAAATGTCAGATCAGAGTGAGGCACTCTCTCTCATTTCTGCTTTCAACTTTATTGCACAAGGACCTAGACATGGGCACCAGTATTGGTGGTTAAGAATGCATTTCTCAATGAAGAATAAGAGGCTCAGGAGTGCAGCGAAAAGAGCTCTCTAAATGGGGGCGCGGCGAGGCTCAGATCCCAGTTGTGGCCCAAGCTCTGGCCAGCTGTAAGACCCAGGGCAAGTCAGTCATCTCCCTGGGCCTAGATTCTCCGCTCTAAAACAAGTCACACCAGAGCTCTAAAGGTTTTTCTGACTCCAAAAATTCCAGGACAAGTTTAATCACAGATTCCATTAACATGTATAATTCTTGCTATTTCAACTCCTTCTTCCACATTTCCAGAAGAAAGTCAAGTATTTCAGCAACCTGAAAGAAATGGATGCTATTCAGAGACCAAAGATTCTGTCCGTTGGAAAAAACTAAGTAATTCTGTAAAAATGCCCATTTCCTCATTACAGTAAGATGTTTTGGCAGAGGGAACAGTTCTCTGGTAAAGATAACCAAGACTGCTGTGCATCAGGCCTAATCCAGAGTACTCATTATCCGTGCTGGTATGTAAAGAGGTGCTATCATGGTTCAAAGCGGAAGCAACACTCCTCAGAGCTTCTCCAAAAAGACGGCGAGAAAGTTCTCATCCTCGGGGTAAGGCTAGTGAACAGCTGTGCAAATGATAAGGCACTGAAAATGCACGCTTTGGGCCATTCAAGTACTCCAAGCACAGACTCCTTTATCAAACAGTCGGTATTGTCTCCCTCCCAACCTGTCAAAACACGATTCCAGTTGGAGCCCGGAACAGTAACTTACCCGGGCAATCTAACTTCTCTCCCCCCCTGGGGCAGCCGTCCGCAGGCCTGCTCCTTCCCCAATTCCGGCCGGCCGCTCTCACGCCCACCCCGGGGCGGTCGCAGCCCCGCAGTCGGGTAAACACGCGCCCGAGTATCGGGAGCGGTTTCCCGGCGTCCTGGGAGCGGCGGGTCCCGCCCCTTGGAGCCCGGAGCTGGTCGGGCCGTCGTCGCGGCCACCTCGGGTCGCTCTCTCCGTCCCGAGTGCCACACCTCGCGCCTCTGTCCCCGGGACGACGGCGCACAGCCCAGTCCGCCCCTGGGAGCGCACGGGGACCGGCCAGTCCGCCGCCGCCGCCGCCTCAGCTCCAGACGGACGACTGCCCTCTCCTCTGCCCGCCGGCGGCGCCTCCCGCGGCGGCCGGGCCCCAGCCCGGCGCCCCCACCTCTTAGACACAGCCCCTTCCTTGCCGGGACGCCCCGCGCTGCGCCGGGCACAGCCTCGGCTCCCCGTCTCAGAGACACCAAGGGACACTCACCCCGGAGGCTCCTCCCGCCGCTGCTGCTGCCGCCGCTGGGACCGCGGCCGTCGCCCCCGCCGCCGCCACCAGCACCGCCGTCCGCACCGGCGCCAGCACCCGCGGCCATTCTCCTCCTGCCGCCGCCGCCGCCCTCTCCGCTCCTGTCAGTGGCTCAGGCTCCGGGGCTGCTCCAGGTTTCCCTCGCCGCCATTTTGACTCCTAGAGGGAGCAGGAGGGGCTCGGCTCGGCGCGGCCCTGGGGCGCCTGCGCGGCGCTGCGGAGCCGGCCCGAGCCCCCACCCGCCCCCGCCGTCGCCGCGCCTAGAGTCACGTGGGCCGGCGGCGGGCGCGCGCGAGCGCCAGGCCGGGCCGGGCAAGGGAGGCGCGTTCGCGAGCCCCGGGAGCGGTCGAAGCCGAGTGCGCGCGCATTATTCCCGCTCCGCGCCTCGGAGCACAGAGCGGGACGCTCGGAGTTTGAAGCTCGTTGCAGCATCCTGCTTACCCTGGGGAATTGTGACAAATCATTAAATGTATCAGAATGGAATTATAATAACTACGTTACTGGACGACCAGGTCTACCAATTCCTGTTGCTATTCGGTGGCCGGCATCCACGGATCGCGCATCTTGCATGCGCGTCCAAGAGAAGACAGCGCTTCCGCGGAAAACTCCTTTCTGACAGTCTTGGCGTTTCGGTGGCTTCTTGGCACTTCATCTTAACTACTGCTGCATGGTACTTTTACAGACAGCACTTTGATACTTGCTGTATCAGGTTAAAAAAAAAAGTTTTCCTCAACAAAATACCTCCGTGAATGAGGGACGAGAATTGATGAAAGCGCACGATCGCTACGTGGATGAGCCAAATCGCCCTTTCCTAGATGCCCCTTGTCTGGGAGTTTGCAATAATTCCAGCGATGCAGGAACAAAAAAACAAACAAAGAAAAAACAAAAACAAAAAACCACACCTTAAGTTTCTGCACCATCTTATAGTACTTAAAACACCGTTAAATACGTGGCTTCGTTTGAACACCGATCCACCCTTTGAAGTAGTCGGGACAGGTATTAGGTTATAGCCGTTTTACAGCTAAGAAATAGGCTCAGCAACACTCAGTCGTTTGCCCCCAGGCACACATGCAACATTAGTAAGTAGACAGCATTAATAAGTAGACGTGGGCAAGCCCAGACTAGAAGTCCAGACACTTTGACCCTGGTCGCCAGGTATATCACTCCTCACAGTTCCCAAGTAGAGCTTAGCAATACCTGATGTATTTGTCCTCTGGGAATTTATTTAAAACCCTCTTAAAGTATTTGCATTTTTCTTTAAAAAATTTTTTTTAATATTTATTTATTTTTGAGAGAGACAGAGAGACAGAGTGTGATCAGAAGGGCAGGGAGAGAGGGAGACATAGAATCTGAAGCAGGCTCCAGGCTCTGAGCTGTCAGCACAGAGCCACCTGTGGGGCTCAAACTCCAGAACTCACCTGAGTTCATGACCTGAGCCCAAGTTGGTCGCTTAATGGACTGAGCCACCCAGGTGCCCCTAAAGTTTATTATAATTTTTTATAGTTTATTGATTTACTTTGGTGGGGTGGGAGTATCAGCAGGAGGGGGGGCAACAGAGGATCTGAAGTGGCCTCCAAGTCCATACCATAGAGCTCGATGTGGGGTTCAAACCCACCAACCGTGATTGTGACTTGAGCCCAAGTAGGATGCTAAACTGACTGAGCCACCCAGGCTCCCCAAAGTATTTGCATTTTCAATCTCTACCCACGCTTTGAAAAACAAGTTCTTTAAGTCACATCCAGTCTTTTTGTTCTCAAACCACCTCTAAGCTAAGTAAGAGCAGTTTTGAATTTTGTGGTGTTTTAAATCGTCTCTTGGTCCTTTATTATTTTATCCAAACATTTCATATGTGATTGTAGGATTTAAGTTTTTTTGACATCCTTCAATGGAAGGACTTTATCTCTGTGAATATTATAGTTGCTTGTCTCTGAACTTTCTTCAGATTTGTTATATCTTTCTTGTGCTCATTGATCCCCTCTTTACTTCCTTGAAAAGATATTTCTTTCCAGTCTGTATTACTTCATTTTCCCCCCACTCACTCCGTACATCTCTCCTACCCCAATCCTTGAAGGTTTGGAGATTGTAGTATTCCCTCGTCTGAAACAGATTCTCCTTTAGCTGGTAAAGTTCTCTTCAACTGAGCATACAAGTGTGGGCAATGGACAAGAAGTACATAGAAAAGTGAGAAAATACAGAGGAAATAGGCCTATCCAATTGAAGCAAAGACTCTGACAGCCACTTCCTATTACCTACACTGTTATAATACTTAACCCTAAAGGCATAATTGAACCTTATCTAAATTCAAGCCACCTACCATTATTTTTCCTTCCTTTTTCTTTTTTTTTTTTTTTTTGGCAAAAATAAAAAAGTCCCACAAAACAAAATACCCCCATACCACTTTATTCCAACCTTTATCCAAAAATGTGAGAAGTGTTGAAAATGAGCTTCAGATGCTGACCTCCAACCTCATAGCAAATGGGAAGAGAGGGTCAGGGTAGAAGTTCACTGGATAGGGGCACCTCGATGGTTCGTCAGTTGAGTGTCCAACTTTGGCTCAGGTCATGATCTCACAGTTCGTAGGTTCAAGCCCCTCATCGGGCTCTGTGCTGACAGCTTGGAGCCTGAAGTCAGCTTTGGATCCTGTGTCTCCCTCTCTCTCTGCGCCTCCCCCACTTGTTTTCTCTCTCTCTCTCAATCTCTCTCTCTCTCTCTCAAAAATAAACTTTAAAAAGAATTAAGAAGTTCACTGGATAGAAATTCTCCACTCCTGGAGAAAAGGGAAGCCACAGGCATGGTATAGGATTAGAAGAACACTAGGGTCCTTTGGAAAATGAGACCCTTTCTCTCCTAAGACCTCCCCTACCTGCAACCCTCCTCTTCAACAGTGAAGACCCATTTAAAATTCTTGACACTTGTACAGGAATCTGGTCCATAGCATATGTGGCGGGCAGCTAGCTGACCAAAAAGGGCTTAGGGCCCACCCCCTGCTTCTTGGCAGGTAAAATTGGGCACAACTCAGCTTCCACCTCCTCACTCCTCTCTTCCCTCTCTTTCTCAGAAATGTCATGGCTCACAAAAATAATCTGGTACCACCAGGTGATCCGGACAGGACCAGAACCTGACTTCAGGCAGAAAGTTACAGGTAATTGGAGCCGGATGTCAGCCAACTGAGTTGGCAGGGCAATTTGAGGTTGGTCACAAGGACTGCAGTCTCCTGGTGGTCATGGTTCCGGGCCACCATTTTTTTTTTTGGATTCAAATATTTATTTCTTTTTTGTGGTGAAGTAAATACAGTAATGTGTTTTGTTTTATTTATTTATTTTTTAATTACATATAATTTATTGTCAAATTGGTTTCCATACAACACCCAGTGCTCATCCCAACAGGTGCCCTCCTCAATGCCCATCACCCCCTTTCCCCTCTCCCCCACCCCCACCAGACCACGATTTCTACCACATTACACTTATCTTTGGCCCCCTCAGTGAGGCAAAGCATGGTCAAAGTCCATGCGTGCTCCACATTATCCTTTTCTTTAACCTTGGAGGTGAAAGAGTTGGGATGGCTAGAGTGCTCATCACTGAAGAAAAAAAGGAATGGGGGGCCTGCAGACCTTCAGACCTCCAAAACACCCCACCTGGCTGAGTTCTTCTGACTCAAGACTGCTAAGGCCAGTGGCTGTGCTGCAAGGTATTTTCCATTAGTTTATTTTTGTCTTAATCAGCTAAATATTGCATTAATATTAAAATATTAATATTGTACTAAAAATTGCATTGTCCATACCACTTCTTGATAATTTATTAAAATATTAAATAAGATAAGTCCCCATCACAGGCCCCGTGGTTCAGTCAGTTAAGCCTCCGACTTCAGCTCAGGTCATGATCGTGCTGTTCATGAGTTCGATCCCTGTGTGGGGCTCTGTGCTGACAGCTCAGAGCCTGGAGCCTGCCTCGGATTCTGTGTCTCCCTCTCTCTCTGCCCCTCCCCAGCTCTCTCTCTGTCTCTCTCTCTCTCTCAAAAATAAATAAACATTAAACATTTTTTTAAAAAAATTAAGTCCCTGTCATTTACACTTTCTCACTTATTCCCAACCGTCCTTTTTTTGACTTTGGTTCTGTTTCCTAGACACAATTTTGAAAACAAATGAAAATAAAACCAACAACAATAGAACTCTAAAATTCCAGGGTAATGTAGTTTTCCTAAAAGCCTTTGATGTGGAAATCTATCAAAGGCTTTTGGAAATACCAGATAAAGTCTGCTGGTTCTACCTTGTCCTTTGGTGCATCTGCATATTCAGAGAACTCTAGTAGACTAGAGTTGGGTATGATTTGCTTTCACAGAAACTAAGCATTGGTGTTCCACGATTTTTTCCACCCTATAATTCATCTACCTTGTATGTGTCTAGTTGTGTCTAGATGTGTCTAGTTCAATTTAGTCCAACAGGTTTTTTTTTAAAGCATTCAATACCATGTGCCAAGCACAGTGCCAATGCTCAGGCTAAAAAAATAAATCATTCTTTGCCCTTGAGAAGCTTAGAGTCTAAACAGGAAGACAGACTGGAGGGGGGGAAGGCTAGTGCTGAGATAATTCAGTAGTGGTGAACAGCACAAGTCCTAGACTTATACAGATCTGAGTGGGTATGTGACTACAAGCCAGGACAATCAAAATCCTTTCTGGAAATTTCTGCCAGGCTATCCTAGGATATGTTTCCTCTTAATCTGTTTCTCTGGGATTATGACCTTAAAGGACAATGTCGATTTTCTTTTTTACCTGTGAGGAGAAAGCCATGAGGAATAGGAGAGAAGGAAGATCACATGCAGAAAGAAACAGAGAACTTAACAGAAAGGGGAGTCATGACATCATTTGAAGTCTTGGAATTTTGTTTTTAAGTAACTTCTACACCCAACTGGGGCTCCAACTCACAACCCTGAGATCAAGGGTCCCATGCTCTAACAACTGAGCCAACCAGGTGCCCCTTACTTTCCTTTTTAAACATCTTAAACTTGTTGGGTGTGGGTAAGAAC